TGGAGAAGGACAACCAAAATAATAAACATTTGAGGAAAAGTTGAAATAGTTGGGCATGTTCAGTTTCATGATGAGAAGATGAAGATGTGGCATGAAAGACCTCTTTAAATATCTCAAGGGCATTTAAGGAAGGGATAGGTCTGATTCCCCATACGGTGGAAACAGGTCTACTGGTTTGGAAGCACAGCACATCAACTGAACTCTAGAAAGAACTTCTTGATGGACATCTTCCAAAAGAGACTAGGAGATCCTGGACTGAACAATGAGTTGGACCCCATGACCCATGGACTTCTTCCAATTCTATGGTTCTTCATTCTCCAAAGGCCCCTCTTTGCCAAAGGCAATTCCCAATTCAAAACCAATACCAGAGAGCAAGAAAATCAGAAGACTTACCCAGGTCTTCAGCAATAAGCAGCAAGGAGGCGGTGAAGAAAAGGCACCATACACATCAACCTCTGGCTTCCTTGGAGTTTGGGAAAGTGGGCGGTGGATGATGAAGTTGCCTTCTGGTCAAACCTGCTCTGTTATTGTTGTCGATCCTCGTTTCTCTTCGCTGTTTGGTTGGAATCCTCCCAGATGATCATACGGCAATTAGAAGGCATCTACCCACAAGTGGGTGGAAGGGAGTGTGGAAGTGGTCAGCCCTTGGCCTTGGATGGAATTGAGGAAGACACAGAGGTAGAGTCTTTCCTACCCAACGGAAAAGGGAGGGATGGGGAAATGGTGGTCCCTGGACCACCTGGAATATTATCTTCACTTTGGGACACCGCAGTTGGAGAAGGATATCAACAAGATGGAAAGTGCATCAAGAAGGTCCACCAAAATGGTCAAAGGCCTATAAGTCATGATTCCTTCTGAGGAGTGGCTTAGGGAACTGGACATGTTCAACTTGGAGATTTGAAGGTTGGGAGGGGACATGAGAGCCAGGATTAAAAGACCTTGGAGAAGATGGTGTTCCAGACACAGGCCCATCATGACACCTGAATGAGGGTTTGTGTAGACCACAACAAAATATATTCGTTTTGCTCAAGTGTGTTGGAGTTAATCCAGAAGAACTAGGTTCAACTCTAATTTTAGTTCAACCAAAGAGGATTAAATGTGTGAAAGAAGACCTTGGAGAAGATGGTACTCCAGACACAGGTCCATCATCACCAGAATGAGGGTTTGTGTAGACCACAACAAAATACATTCATTTTTCTCAAGTATGTTTGAGTTCATCCAGAAGAACTAGGTCCAGCTCTAATTTTAGTTCAACCAAGAGGTTCAATGGAGACGTGGAGCTGGTTGCTGTCCAAAAGCATGACCAGATGTTGGGGAGATAAAGCAGAAGGATATGGTCTTAACCCTTGGAGGAAGTTTCAGGTCATGTCAACATACCAGTTCCTTCTCCACCTGAAAACCCACACAATTATCTGAGAGGATTCCTAAACATAGGCATGATTTATTTAATCGCAGTGGTTTCAGATCCAAGCCCCTCCTTTGTGGTTTTCCTGTGTTATTATAGGCAGGCACCACGTCTCCAGTTGCAACACTTCTCTCCGAGCCATGCAGATATTTGCTACCCATGGTTCTTGTCTATATAAACACACAAACACATAATAGCAGTGAAAATATGTATGTGTGTATGTGACTGTGGTGCCCACTTCCACAGCACTTTAACCCACAGTGCTGAGGAGACATCAAAGGCCCACTCTTCAATGACATTTCAGGTTATAGCAAGAGCTGTGGATATATCTCCCAACCCCTGCCAATGTCCTCCCCAAACATCATACTGCCCACCACCCAAGGAATGCATTCATTTGGGGACAATTTCATCTTAATTATATGTGTTTCCTCCACCACAGACATCCCAGTGTTCCTGACTCTCCCCATTGGTGTGGAATTTGCATGATCCCACCCACTGCCTCTCTCTTAATCCTTTCCTACTCTTTTCAATTCTGTCTGCACAACAAACAGAGCAGAAACAATCAGCAAACGTGTTTCCTCCACCACAGACATCCCAGTGTTCCTTACTCTCACCATTGGTGTGGAATTTGCATGATCCCACCCACTGTGTCTCCCTTAAACTTTTCCTACTTTTTTCAATTCTGTCTGCACAACAAACAGAGCAGAAATAATCAGCAAACATGTTTCCTCCACCACAGACATCCCAGTGTTCCTTACTCTCACCATTGGTGTGGAATTTACATGATCCTGCCCACTGCGTCTCCCTTAACTCTTTCCTACTCTTTTCAATTCTGTCAGCACAACAAACAGAGCAGAAATAATCAGCCAACATGTTTCCTCCACCACAGACATCCTAGTGTTCCTTACTCTCTCCATTGGTGTGGAATTTACATGATCCTGCCCACTGCCTCTCTCTTAATACTTCCCTACTCTTTTCTACTCTGTCTGCACAACAAACAAAGCAGAAATAATCAGCAAATGTGTTTCCTCCACCACAGACATCCCAGGGTTCCTTACTCTCTCCATTGGTGTGGAATTTACATGATCCCACCTACTGCCTCTCACTTAATACTTCCCTACTCTTTTCTACTCTGTCTGCACATCAAACAGAGCAGAACTGAGCAGCAACTTAACATACTGGAGGAGTTTGGGGGATTGACTCCAAATGCTGGAAGTTGTAGTTCACCCTGCATCAAGTCAGAGCACTTTGACCCCCACTGACAATGGATTTGGACTACATTTGACACACAGAACCCCCATGACTAAAGAAAAATCCTGGAGAGGTTTAGGGGGAATTCACCTTGTATTATAGCCATTGTAGGTACTGGGATTTATAGTTCACCTGCAATCAAAGTACACTCTGGACACCACCAATGATGTCCCTGGATTTAACTTGGCACACAGAACCACCATGACCAAATGAAAATACTGGAGGGCTTCGGGGGGAACTGACCTTCATTTCTGGAAGTTGTAGTTCTCTTACATCCATAGACACTGTGACCACCACTGATGATGGATCTGGACCAAACTTGTCACACAGAACCTCTATGACCAACTGAACCTACTGGAGGGATTTGAGGGGAGTGATTCACCATGGTGGGAATTGTAGTTTACCCAAATTCACCTTGATTTGGGGGAGATATAGTTCACTTACATCCAGAGAGCACTGTGAACCCAAACACCAATGGATCCGGACCAAACTTAGCACACATACCTGAAATTGGACTACTGGAGGGATTTGGGAGGACCTGACCTTACTTTCTGGGAGCTGTAGTTCACCCACAACCAGGGAAAATGTGACCTCCACCGATGATGGACCTGGACCAGACTTGGCACACAGAACCGCCATGACGGACTCAACCTACTGGAGGGGTTTGAGGGGACTGACCCACCATGGTGGAAGTTGTAGTTTATCCTGTAACCAGAGATCACACTGAACTCCACCAATGATGTATCTAAAGGAAACTTGTTGAACATGACAAACTTTAAGTACTGATGGAGTTTCAGGGGGTTAACTTGTCATGATGGGAGTTGTAGTTCACCCACAACCTTATGCATTTTGTAAAATAAAAAAATGACTTTTTCAAATAATAAGATATAATATAATATCTAATAATAATAACAAATAGTACTGATGGAGTTTCAGGGGGTTAACTTGTCATGATGGGAGTTGTAGTTCACCCACAACCTTACGTTTGTGGGATTAACAGAACTCAAAAACCACTGGACGGATTGACACCAAATTTGGACACAAGACACCTAACAACCCAATGTATGTCCTTCATTCAAAACAATTGATTTTGCCATTTGGGAGTTGTAGTTGCTGGGATTTATAGTTCACCTACAATCAAAGAGCATTCTGAACCTCACCAATGATGGAACTGAACCAAACATGGCACACAGTTCTCCCATGACCAACAGAAAATACTGGAAGGGTTTGGTGGGCAGTGTCCTTTGGTTTGGGAGTTGTAGTTCACCTACATCCAGAGAGCACGGTGCACTCAGTGATGGATATGGACCAAACTTGGCACAAATATTCAATATGTCCAAATATGAACACTGGTGGAGTTTGGGGAAAATAGACCTTGACATTTGGGAATTGCATTTGCTGGGATTTATAGTTCACCTTCAATCAAAGAGCATTCTTTGATGGTTCAATTCAACCATTGAATTGAACCATACTTGGCACATAGTTCTCCCATCATCAATAGAAAATACTGGAAGGGTTTGGTGGGCAGTGTCCTTTGGTTTGGGAGTTGTAGTTCACCTACACCCAGGGAGCGCTGAGGACTCAAACAATGATGGATATGGACCAAACTCTACACGAATACTCAGTATGCCCAAATGTGAACACTGGTGGAGTTTGGGGAAAATAGAATCTTGATATTTGGGACTTGTAATTGCTGGGATTTATAGTTCACCTACAATCAAAGAGCATTCTGAACCCGACCAATGATAGAATTGGGCCAAACCTCCCACACAGAAGTCCCATGTGGGCCACAGCAATGCATGGCAGGGGACAGCTAGTATCTAATAAGAATAATAAATAATACGGATGGAGTTTCAGGGGGTTAACTTGTCATGATGGGAGTTGTAGTTCACCAACAACCTTATGCATTTTGTAAAATTAAAAAATGACTTTTTCAATAATAAGATATAATATAATATCTAATAATAATAATAATAATAAATAGTACTGATGGAGTTTCAGGAGGTTAACTTGTCATGATGGGAGTTGCAGTTCACCCACAACCTTATGCATTTTGTAAAATTAAAAAATTACTTTTTCAAATAATAATAATAATAATAATAATAATAATCAAATATAATATAATATCTAATAATAATAATAATAAATAGTACTGATGGAGTTTCAGGGGATTAACCTGTCATGATGGGAGTTGTAGTTCACCCACAACCTTATGCATTTTGTAAGCTAAATATTTACTTTTTCATTCCCATTTGGGGCTGGTTAGGGTTGGTGTTCTCCGTTGGGAAGTCCGGAAGACTGCTTCAGAGTGTACTATCTACATCATGGAATAAATGCAATTTGGCACCCCTATAACAGCCATGGTTCAAGGTTTTGGAATGATGGGTGCTTTAATTTTGCAAGATATTTATCCATCTCAGCCAAAGAGTGCTGAGACCTCACCAACCTAAAGCTCCCGGAACAAGCTTCCACGATAGAGTCTCCAAAAAAGGGAAACGACTGGCTAGAAGGGGAGCCTTTAGTTGTACTTGTAATTCGGCCACTTGGAAATTTCGGCGCGGATGGGCTCTCCCGGTGAAACAATATCGCTGACGTCGCTGTGGGCCATGATGAGATATTCCTCCGACAAGTAGCCAATCTTCACCGAAAAGTCAAGCAGACATTTCAGGGATTTCCACGCCGCTTGGTTGGGAAGCTTCTCTGTGGAATCAAAAGTCAATATACAACAGTTACAACAGTTATTATACCAAGTATTATTACAGCGGATTAAACCGCTGAGCTGCTGAACTTGCTGACCAAAAGGTCGGTGGTTTGAATCCGGGGAGCGGAGTGAGCTCCCACTGTTAGCCCCAGCTTCTGCCAACCTAGCAGTTTGAAATCATGCAAATGGGAGTAGTAGTAATAATAATAATAATAATAATAATAATCTTTATTTATACCCTGCCACCATATCCCAAATCTGCTGACGAAAAGGTCAATGGCCTAGAATCCGGGGAGCGGAGTGAGCTCCCACTGTTAGCCCCAGCTTCTGCCAACCTAGCAGTTTGAAATCATGCAAATGGGAGTAGTAGTAGTAGTAATAATAATAATAATAATAATAATAATAATAATAATCTTTATTTATACCCTGCCACCATATCCCAAATCTGCTGACGAAAAGGTCAATGGCCTARAATCCGGGGAGCGGAGTGAGCTCCCACTGTTAGCCCCAGCTTCTGCCAACCTAGCAGTTTGAAACCATGCAACTGGGAGTAGTAGTAATAATAATAATAATAATAATAATAATAATAATAATAATAATAATATTTATTTATACCCTGCCACCATATCCCAAATCTGCTGACCAAAAGGTCGGTGGTTTGAATCCGGGGAGCGGAGTGAGCTCCCATTGTTCGCCCCAGCTTCTGCCAACCTAGCAGTTTGAAATCATGCAAATGGGAATAGTAGTAATAATAATAATAATAATAATAATAATAATAATAATAATAATCTTTATTTATACCCTGCCACCATATCCCAAATCTGCTGACCAAAAGGTCAATGGCTTGAATCCAGGGAGCGGAGTGAGCTCCCACTGTTAGCCCCAGCTTTTGCCAACCTAGCAGTTTGAAATCATGCAAATGGGAGTAATAATAATAATAATAATAATAATAATAATAATAATAATAATCTTTATTTATACCCTGCCACCATATCCCAAATCTTTTCAATTCTGTCTGCACAACAGAGCAGAAATAATCAGCAAACGTGTTTCCTCTGCCGCAGACATCCCAGTGTTCCTTACTCTCTCCATTGGTGTGAAATTTGCATGGTCCCACCTACTGCCTCTCTCTTAATACTTTCCTACTCAACAAACAGAGCAGCAACTTAACATACTAGAGGAGTTTGGGGGATTGACTCCAAATGATGGAAGTTGTAGTTCACCCTGCATCAAGTCAGAGCACTGTGACTCCCCACTGCCAATGGACCTGGACTACATTTGGCACAAAGAATCCCCATGACCAAAGAAAAATCCTGGAGAGGTTTAGGGGCAATTCACCTTGATTTATAGCCATTGTAAGTACTGGGATTTATAGTTCACCTATATCTTAAACAAATCTTGAACAAATCAAGAACTTTGGCCCATAAGCAAGGCGCTGGCTGCTGGAGCTGATGAACAACTGCACTGCATCCTGTCAGATCCCCAAAATCTGGAGGAAAGCAAGAGTCATCGCCATCTTGAAGCCAGGCAAAGACCGCAACGACCCAAAAAGCTACAGACCCATCTCCCTGTTGTGCCACCTCTACAAAGTTCTGGAGAGACTTATTCTGCATAGAATTATGGAAAAAATAGACCCCTGTCTGATCCCACAGCAAGCTGGCTTCAGGAAAGGCAAAAGCTGCACATCGCAAGTGCTGAACCTGACTCAGCACATAGAAGATGGCTTTGAAAGGAAGCAGATCACAGGAGCTGTCTTCCTAGACCTGTCAGCGGCCTATAATACTGTGAACCACCGCCTCCTCCTGAGAAAAATTTATAGTATCACAAAGGACGACCACCTCACCGGCCTCATAGGAAACCTGCTACAAAACAGGAGCTTTTTTGTTGAGTCCCAGGGCCAGAGAAGCAGATGGCAGAAACAGAAGAACGGTCTGCCTCAGGGGAGCGTGCTTGCTCCATCCATGTTCAACATCTACACAAATGACCAGCCACTGCCAGAAGGGACAGAGAGCTTCATCTATGCTGATGATCGTGCCATCACCGCTCAAGCAGGGAGCTTTGAGATGGTGGAACAGAAGCTCTCCAAAGCTCTGGGTGCTCTTGCTGCCTATTACAGGGAAAACCAGCTGATCCCTAACCCATCTAAAACACAGACATGTGCCTTTCACCTTAAGACCATGGGGTGATACATGGGGAGACGGAAAAGTTGGCAGGATGGGTGTTGGTGCAGCTGACAGTGATGAGGAGAGGGCGGAGGACACTTCATCAACAGATAATGAGTTGTAAGATAAATGTAGGCACTGGAGTAATGAATCTTTGCAGAAGGCAAAGTGTTGGATTCGTGCCTGGATCTTTGTCGCTGCTGCTTCTCTTGTTGGGTCCTGGAACTACAGGTTGCTGTATTCTCCGTGTATCAACTGGCTTGGAATATCGAGAGTGCTGACTTCCCCTCTTCTTGACTTCGGATTGCTTGGACGACAACGCTACTTTTTGGACTTTAACAACTTCTACTGGATTTATCTCAACTTTGGACTGCATTTGGACGACGGCTTTGTTTTTCTACACCGTGTTTGTTTGCATTTTTTGAACTCTGTGATTTTGGGCCATTTTGCTCAACCTTTTGTTTATTCTGGATTATATGTCGGTTTAATCCGGATTATTTGCTAAATTGAGTTTTTACCTTGCAATTTGCTAGAGACTCAGTTTTGGCCAGGAACACTGAATTAAGTGTTCCTGAGTCCTTTTTGTTGCCTTAATAAACTTTGTTTATAGTTTATCCCTGTCTCTGGCTCTCCCGACACTGAAGCTTTTTCTGCACAAAATTCACATTTAGTTGTTTCAGGCAGAATATTTCACGGAGAAACTAATATATGGTTTTGGGAGACAAATGAAGCAAAAAATTTTGCTCGCAAAAAACAGTTTTGTGCAAAAAAAAATTCACAAAGAAGTTTCCAAGGGCAAGAAATCACAGATGAATTGAGATTCACACATTCCTTCTCGAAGGCTTAGAATTGACCTAGATTTCTTAATTAGATATGCATTATTTATTTATTTGTTTATTTATTTATTTACAGTATTTATATTCTGCCCTTCTCACCCCGCAGGGGACTCAGGGCGGATTAGAATGTACATATACATGGCAAACATTCAATGCCATAGGCACACAACATATATAGACAGACACACAGAGGCTATTTAACATTCCAGCTTCTGGCCACCAGGGGAGCTGTCGCTTCACCATCCATTTGTGATACTAATGAAGTACTTCCTCATTCTTTGCATACATCCTGGAGATTTTTATGGCTTCGTAAATCAGTTAAATTAGCCTCCCCACATAAGTGGCACCTGTGATCCCGCCTGCATCACAGGCACGGCTGGCGGGGACGAGAGAGAGGGCCTTCTCGGTGGTGGCCCCCCGGCTGTGGAACACTCTCCCGGCACACATTAGACAGGCGCCCTCCCTCATGTCCTTTCGAAAAAGCCTTAAGACCTGGCTGTTCGAGAGGGCATTTAATTAAGTGCTAGCAATGTCATTACGGTAATGAGAATTGGAATGGTATAAGGACGAGGAGACTGGCCTACGATTCTACTAAGAGACGAAGCGGATTTTTATGTAGTTTGTATTGTTGTATTGTGTGTATTGTGGATATTGGCTTTTGTAACTGTCTTTTTACGTGTACTGTACACCGCCATGAGTCGCCCGTAAGGGCTGAGAATGGCGGTTAATAAGTGCATCTAATAATAAATAATAAATAAATAATAATAATAAATTTCCAAAACTGTCTTTTGGGCTGCAAAGGTCAACAACAAGCTATACAATTTTGGTCGGGAGCTCACTCCAACCTGGACTAGCTTCAAACTCATGACCTTTCGTTCAGTAGTGATCTTAATGCAGCTGACTCCCAGCCACAGTCCTGGTGCTATTTGAATATCCATTAAATTGATGGGATTTACTCGTTAACCAATGGATTCAGTAGGGTCAACTCTAGCTGAGATGAGCCAAGAGGATCCAGTCTTACCAAGATCTACTCCAAAGTTAATGGGTGCAATGAGACATTGCTTTGACCACGACTGTTGTGAAGTGCATCCAAGGTTTTGTGGACTTCCCAAGATGTCAAATACATTCTGAGTTTAAGGCTTATCACCTTTGAGAGTTCATTTAACATTCAGACTAAAACTCTGAGAGGAATGACCATCTAACCAAGTTAGGGTCCATCAATCACAGATGGAGGTGTTTTGTTCTATAGGGTGAAGGACATACCGGTGAAGGTCCCTATGAAAGCAATGCCAAGGGAGATGTCGTTGTAGCCATAGGTGTGGGCACCTTCGCTGCGCCACCCACGTCCTTCATAAACATAACCATCCTCACCAATCAGGAAGCTGGAAAAGAACAAAGGAAGGAAGGAAAGAAGGATGTCCAAGAGCAGAGAACCTTCTACAACCTCGTGGTTGAATCATATTCCCGCCCAACCAAGGTTCAGCACATATCTCTTCCAAAGTTGAGGACAAAACCTTAATGAGATCCAGTTATCTCCTCAAATACAGGCCACCAGCCAACTGTGATGTCAACCAGGTCAACACAGAGGAGGCCATGAGAACTCAAAGTCTTTAGGCATCGTCTTACTTGTAAGCAATGTCACACCATCGTTTGATGCGCTGGTGATAGTCCTGGGCATTCCTGGTCTCCCGGCTGCATTCTTCACGAGTGGTGCAGGTTGTGCCCGCAGTATGGCTGATGACAACGTATTCTGGGAGAACATCATGCAAAGGTGCAGAACAGTTGGCTGGCTTGGCTCCCCACTTGGAAGGAGTGATGAGTTGGAAACATGCCGTAGCTGTGAGGAATAAACAGCAAAACTATATGGTCCCTTGGCTTCAACATTCAGCCTCCATCTTCTTATCTTCTGCATCTAGAGACTACCATGGGTCAGCCAATTGGGTTTTGATCAGAACTTTGAAAGAGCCACCAAAGGTGCTGAACCTCTTCTGAAACATTTGAACTACAACTCAAAGCAAATTAAATAGATTGGCCAACTTTGAGGATGGGTTTCAGCCCATGGATTGAGTCTTCAAAGTTCAGCCACCTCCACCAAAGTGGGAGCCAAGAGGTCCATTGACTCTCCGTATCTAACCATGGTTTCTCCCCACTGGAAGCCCTTTCTCCCTTTTAGTGATTTTGACTAGTTACCTTCTGACAGCACACACAACACGAACAGAAGAATCTCCGCCTTGACCATCTTCTTCGTATTGATGTCCAACCCAAAGAGCTCAAAAACAACCTGCAGAATGAAATAGGTTAAATCATTATTTTTCCTCTCTAGGAATCTCTAGGTCCTCCAGGGCAACAGTATGGTTATGTTTAGAGTCATGCTGAAGGACCCAGAGTTTCCTAGAGAGAAGATATCTCTAAGAATCTCTAGGGCCTCCAGAGTGGTTCTATCAGACATTGACCATAGAACTGGCCTCCAGAGTGGTTCTATCAGACATTGACCATAGAACTGGCCTCCAGAGTGGTTCCATCAGACATTGATCATAGAATTGTCCTGGAGATTCATAAAGATATATTGTCTCTAGGAATCTCCACCACATTTTTATGATGAAGGTCAACAACAATATTGACATGGAGGACATAGACATTATTAGAAAGGTTTTCCTTCAAGTTGAAAAATAGCTCCACTTGAATTCATGGTTTTTCCACTTTCACAAGGGCCTTGTGTCTCAACCTCAGTGAAATTGATGGGCTTACTGGATAGTAGAATAAGAAAAAAAATATGTAGGGGGGAAAACCCATAGATGTCATATTTGCTGCCCCCTTGAGGGTAAGATTGGATCTACTGGGCTGGAGTTAAGGAATGATTCATTTCAGTGGAACATATGAACAGTAAGAGCAGTGTGGCAATGGATGCAACTATATACAAATGTGCTACTTATGGAATATGCGGTTTGTAGTGGTCTGAGCATTGGACCATAACTGAAGTCCAGGGATGAGTCCTCACTTGACCATGGAGTCACACGTTCTCCACAACAGAGAGCCCATTCTGGGTCTCCGTAAGACATGAAGATTCACAGAAACAATGGAGATACTTTTCATGTCTCCATAAGACATGAAGAAGATACATATAACAACAATGGAGATAATTCTTGGCGAGAACACTCCAATGTCTTTACCTGCTCATCAACAGAATTCCAAGAACTTCTACAAATCCCCAAATCCTTAAGGACCATAGGAGTCAAAGAGCTAGGTGGATTCGCTTCTGAAGTAGGGCATCTTTTGGATCACCACACATAGCTTGATGTCCAGAAGCCTAACCCAGCATGACCAATGCTAGAATGCTAGCAGATGATGGAATGTGTAGTTGGAAGAATCTAGGTGGTCCCCTGCACTGACCAGTCCCCAATAAGACATAGTTTTGGAACCTACCTCTTCTGCTTTGTCTAAGCCCAGGTTCTTGCTCTTCCTAAGAGCTCTGGCTTTCTCATCCCATTCCTTTTAAAGGCAGGTGGTGGAGTATAGGGAAAACCGGGATGTCACAACAAATCCAAACACAGTGATGAGTGTCAATGCCATTCAGGGCGTGACCAGGAGACTGTAACAACGAAACTCTCAACTCTGATGTGGAGGTGCGATTGACAGTGTCAGAGAGAAATGGGAGGAGCTTCCTCTAGAGTATCAGCCCTCCACATTTGCCTGGATTAGGGGCATAGGGCCCCCATGAAGGTGAAATTGCTAGTTTTTTAACCCAAGAGAACACCTCCTTAGGAATGTCTAGGGCTTTCAACAAGACTATGGTGACCATCTTATGGAAATCAACAACAGAACCCCATTGGAGGACCTAGAGATTCCTAGAGATATGGTCTCCCTAGAAATGCCTAGGTCCTCCAGCATAGAGTCCATCTTGGAGGACCTAGAGATCCCATTTCAATCAAATGGTATACCTGCATCATGTGGGGAAGGTCTCAGGTTCAGATTCCAGGTGTCTCCAGCTCCAATGGGAGAGTCATCAGCAGCAGCTACAAATCAGATTGGCAATGGCAGGTTAGATCCATTCTCACTTGATGTGCACACTTTTCCTATACTCAAACCATCACCCAAGTCAAAAACCAAACACAATCAAAGCCCTGGTAGACCATGCAAAAGGAACCTGTGCAGCCCACCTTCTCCAAGGTGAATGGAACCAACTCAACTGAGTTCTGGAGGCCAATGGAGACTCCACCATAGACATCAGAAGAACTTCAAGACCGAGAACAAGCCACAAGAAACCTACACACATGGATAGATACCTACACAAAAACTCCAACCCTTCACCCAAGTCAACAAATAAGCACAATCAAAGCACTGGGAGACCATGCAACAAGAATCCATGAAGCTCACCTCCTCCAAGGTCAACTGAATCACCTCAACTGAGCTCTGGAAGCCAATGGAGACTGCACCATAGACATCCGAAGAGCTTCAGGATCGAGAACAAGCCATGAGAAACCTACACACATGGATAGGTTCATACATAAAACCAAGTCAACAAAGAAGAATAATCAATGTCCTAGGAGGCCATGCAACAAGCATCTGTGAAGCTCACTTCCTCCCAGGTGAATGGAACCACCTCAACTGAGCTCTGGAGGCCAATGGAGACTCCACCATAGACATCAGAAGAGCTTCAAGATCGAGAACAAGCCACAAGAAACCTGCAGACACGGATAGATGCCTACACAAAAACTCAAGTCAACACAGAAGCACAATCAAACCCCTGATAGACCATGCAAAAGGAATCTGTGACGCCCACCTTCTCCAAGGTGAACAGAACCACCTCAACTGAGCTCTGGAGGCCAATGGAGACCCCACCATAGACATCAGAAGAGCTTCAAGATAGAGAACAAGGCACGAGAAACCTACACACATGGATAGATACCTACACAAAAACTCCAACCCTCACGCAAGTCAACAAAGAAGCACAATCAAACCCCTGATAGACCATGCAAAAGGAATCTGTGAGGCCCACCTTCTCCAAGGTGAACGGAACCACCTCAACTGAGCTCTGGAGGCCAATGGAGACTCCACCATAGACTTCAGAAGAGCTTCAAGACCAAGAACAAGCCATGAGAAACCTACACACACGGATAGATGCCTACACAAAAACTCCAACCATCACCCAAGTCAACAAAGAAGCGCAATCAAAGCCCTGGGAGACCATGCAACAAGCATCTGTGAAGCCCACCTTCTCCAAGATGAACGGAACCACCTCAACTGAGTTCTGGAGGCCAATGGAGACTCCACCACAGATATCAGAAGAGCTGCAAGGCCAAGAAGAAGCCACGTGAGTCAAGACAAAGACCCACCAGAAGAAAAGTGTTCTTGCCATACATCAAAGGAACCACTGATCACATGGGAAGCTGATGAAGAAACACAACCTACAAACTATCTACAGACCCAACACATAAGGATGTGGTTTCTTAGCAAATTGTCCCATATTTTGCCACGAAAGCATTCCCTGTTCATGCCACAAGGGAGCAGCAATGCCACAAATGATTTTTCCTTACTTAGAAGGAAAAGGAGGACGTGAGGAAGAGGAAAAATTTCCTTTACAGTGACCTTATGGATCTGCTCTGGGATTTAGTCCATACTTTAAAAGAACTATCCAAGGTGTTGGATCTCACCTCCCCAAATAGGACCAGAACCTAGAGTCTCAAATTCAGACTAAAACTCAATGCTGCTCTTAGCTTCATGTCATAGTATCGTGGGGATTGTAGTTTGGTGAAGCATCATTCTTCTTTAGCAGAGAAAATGAAAGTCATGGAAAAACTACATCTCCCAGGCTTCCATAACATTGAGCCACCATAGTTACAGCTGTGCTCATTCTCCAACATAGATGCATCCTTATTGTAACTCCTCCATATCCATAACATTGAGCCACCCAACTGCCCACTACCCAAGGAATGCTTTCATTCGGGGACCATTTCATCCTAGATTCTATGTGTTCCCTCCACCACAGGCATCCTAGTGTTTCTGACTCTTCCCATTGGTGTGGAATTTGCATGATCCTGCCCACTGCCTCTCCCTTAACCCTTTCCTACTCTTTTCAATTTTTTCTGCATAACAAACAGAGCAGAAATAATCAGCAAATGTGTTTCCTCCACCACAGACATCCCAGTGTTCCTGACTCACTCTCCATTGGTGTGGAATTTGCATGATCCTGCCCACTGCCTCTCCCTTAATCCTTTCCTACTCTTTTCTATTCTGTCAGCACAACAAACAGAGCAGAAGTAATCAGCAAATGTGTTTCCTCCACCACAGACATCCCAGTGTTCCTGACTCACTCTCCATTGATGTGGAATTTGCATGATCCTGCCCACTGCCTCTCTCTTAACTCTTTCCTATTCTTTCCAATTTTGTCTGCCTAACAAACATCACAGAAATAATCAGCAAATGTGTTTCCTCCACGACAGACATCCCAGTGTTCCTGACTCACTCTCCATTGATGTGGAATTTGATTGATCCTGCCCACTGCCTCTCCCTTAACCCTTTCCTACTCTTTTTTACTCCATCTGCACAACAAACAGAGCAGAAGTAATCAGCAAATGTGTTTCCTCCACCACAGATATCCCAGTGTTTCTGACTCTTTCCATTGGTGTGGAATTTCCATGTTTCCACCCACTGCCCCTCACTTAAGCCTTTCCTACTCTTTTCAATTTTGTCTGCACAACAAACAGAGCAGAAATAATCAGCAAATGTGTTTCCTCCACCACCGACATCCCAGTGTTCCTTACTTTCTCAATTGGTGTGGAATTTCCATGTTTCCACCCACTGCCCCTCACTTAACCCTTTCCTACTATTTTCTACTCCATCTGCACAACAAACAGAGCAGAACTAATCCGCAATTAAGCATACTGGAGGAGTTTGGGGACTTGACTTCACATGATGGAAGTTGTAGTTCACCCTGAATCAAGTCAGAGCACGGTGACCCCCACTGACAATGGACCTGGACCACATTTGGCACACATATCGCCAATGACCAAAGAGAAATAATGGAGAGATTTGGAGGGAATTCACCTTGAATTCACCCAGCCATTGTAGGTACTGGGATTTATAGTTCACCTTCAATCAAAGAGCACTCTGGAACTCACCAACGATAGCTCTGGACCTAACTTGGCACACAGAACCACCACAACCAACTAAAAATACTGGAGGGGTTTGGATGGAACTGACCTTCATTTCTGGAAGTTGTAGTTCACTTACATCCAAAGACACTATAGCCACCACCGATGATGGATCTGGACCAAATTTGGCACACAGATCCTCTACGACCACCTGAGCCTACTGGAGGAATTTGAGGGGACTGATCCACCATGATGGGAATTGTAGTTTACCCTGCAGCCGGAGATCATACTGAACCCCACTGAGGATGCATCTGGAGCAAACTTGCCCAACATGACAAACTTTAACTAGTGATGGAGTTTCAGGGGGTTAACCTGTCATGATGGGAGTTGTAGTTCACCCACAACCGTATGTGTATGACTTTTTCAAATAATAAGATATAATATAACATCTAATAGTAGTGGTAGTGGTAAGTAGTACTGGTAATAATCGTCATTGCAATTGCCTGCAACAATGTCTTTGGCCAGCCCGTCAACTCCTAATTTCGAATTATTTTTCAAGGCAAGGCATGTCCATTTTGGACGACCTCCGTTTGACAACCCAATTGACAGCATCGGTTCTCATTGCCTGAATCTTTCTCCTTTTTTCCTTGTTTCAACCCATTTGAGGAATGTTGCCCCACTTGATGGAAAAAGAGAAGAAGGCAAGTCTTGTTGAAACTGGTGGTTTCAAGCTTCCGCCACTGGGGCAGCCCCGGGTTGAGGAAACGGATCAAAGACGCTGCCCAGCCCACCAAAAACAAAGTCGTAAGGAAGCCACGACTTGACAAAGACAGAGCAGAAGGAGGAATTAGAGGTCTATCCACTTCACACGTCCCTGAAGCCTCTCAATACACTGTAGAATTAGTTCCGATTGACACCACTGAACTAATGGTTCAGTTGATTGCAGGTGAACTATAAATCCCAGCAACTACAACTCACCAATGTCAAGGTCTATTTTCTCCAGACACCACCAGTGTTCACACTTAGGCATATTAACTATTCGTGTCAAGTTTGGTCCAGATCCATCATTGTTTGAGTCCACAGTGCTCTCTGGATGTAGGTGAACTACAACTCCCAAACTAAAGGACAACACTCGCCAAACCCTTGCAGCATTTTCTGTGGTTCATGGGAGTTCTGTGTGCCAAGTTTGGTTCAATTCCATCATTGGTGGAGTTCAGGATGCTCTTTGATTGTAGGTGAACTATACATCCCAGCAACTACAACTCCCCAATGTCAAGGTCTATTTTCCCCAAGTTTGTGCCAAGTTTGTGCCAAGTTTGGTCCAGATCCATCATTGTCTGACTCCACACTGCTCTCTGGATGTAGGAGAACTATAACTCCCAAACTCAAGGTCAACACTCGCCAAACCCTTCCAGCATTTTCTGTGGTTCATGGGAGTTCTGTGTGCCAAGTTTGGTTCAGTTCCATCGT